CGCGTCATCACGTGGTCCACCTGCCAACAGCCGAATAACTAAGACGTTGATTCGAAGTTGCAACTTGAAAGCTGCGAGTGCCGTCAAGCAACCCATTATACCTGACTCCACCTCCGCATCCGATTCCTCCTCCTCCTCCTCGTTCTCCTCCTCACTCTCGCCAATTTGTATATTCACTATGGCGAATTCAGACATGCCTGAAATGGAGACGTCAAAAACCATGTCCATACAGTACAGTGATTCTAATAACAATAATAATAATAATAAAGAATATATATGTATCAGGAAAAGTAAATGTTAATGCGGTTTGCGTACCGTTTGGTGTCGAACTGAGGGACGTCTCTGCGTGAATTTGTCCGTTGGTCGCCTCGTGACTGAGGCACAAGCCCAATGCGTACAGGACTGCAATGCCCAGCACCAGCATTGGCCAATCGGGTGGAAGAAGAAGTGACTCAAGACAAACGCCGAGTAGAGCTATCAACGTCTCTGTGGTCAACATTGTTTGCATAGTCGAATAAGGCACACAGTAAATTTGTCAGCAGTAGTAGACCAAATTCGCAAGTGAATGTTCTGCGTTGGAAGTATTGATCTTTGCATTTGAAGTTGCATTCTGTGTTCAATCGATGACACCGTTGATGTGGTGCTAACGTGGTGAAACGCAGTCGTGGCAAGGTCAACACAAGGCCACCGAAATATCATCAATGGCTCTGCTCGAACACGGGCAAATTGCAATGTGTAAGCATCTGGCCCATGAATGATGATTACAGCCACTAATCTGGCAGGGGGTGTGTTCCAAATCAAATTTAGCAGTTAGGCTATGTAACACAGAGGCAACTGATACTCTCCACGAGCAAGTCCAAAAATCTGGCGTTGCACTATTACCTTGTACCTAGTTTGACGTCCAGTTGCACGTTAGCGACGCCCAACGCCCTTGATTGACATGCCCTGTAGGCATTAATACATTCGACAGCAGCACTGACTGCCATACCAAACGCGTGAATCAATCACACATTGCGACAACACTTGAGGTTACATTTGGGTTACGTCACGTCTTCTCCCAGGCGCACACCAACGCAGCCCTGGGAGCCCACATGGGATTGGCCAACATATATTTCTATGATGAATCATTCTTATCCAAACTGAGTACTGGCACTTTGTAATGAGAAGGGTTTGCGACTTGGGGTTGGTTTGAAGATATGCACCTTATAGGGCTATGCATTGGCTAAGATGCACATCACTTGGCCAGTTACTGGCACGTTAATTCACCTGAAAGAATGAGAGATGGGGTGGGAGTGGTAATGGAATGTCAGCTCTTCCCCACACAGCGGCACGACTCACTGAAACATCCCCACTGCCAATGGGCAGTGGAGTGTAGCAGTGACTCGGATGGTTGGACCCATAATTTCCTGCCGAATTGTTCGTCCCACGTCCGAGGAGTTACCGTGAGGGTGAAAGCAGCAGAATGCGTTTCCGCGTCTTCGTGTACATTCCTCTTGACTGCATTCAAGGCTCCTAGTCCGACTTCCAATTGGGACATTCTGTCACGTGAACCCGGTAACTCGCGAGGCTTCCTTCTTCCACCCCACAATCATCAACTCCTAGCAAACATGATTTCAGGTGACTCACTATTTCCTTCATTGCGTATCCTTTAAAATGCAGGTGAAGCATTTCATGCAAATTATTTTCGTAAACTTGATATCCAATAATAAAGAAAATATTAGTAAGTTTTTTTGGATGAAACTCAACACGATTTGCCGACGTCGAGAAGCGTAGCTGCAAGTGCCGTCAAGTGACCCATTATCACCGACTCGGCCTCCGCATACGCATCAGACTCCTCTTCATCATCTTCCTCTTTCGTCTCCTCCTCCTTTTTCTCCGCCCCCTCATTTGCATCACATTCCGCATCCACAAGTGCAGCCTCACTCGTG